CCGCGGTTCTTGGCCTGTGACTCAGGTGTGTCATCCTAACGCCTCTGTCTTCACAGGGCCTCCCTGCCCGTGTCTGTTTCTGTCTCTTATCAGAGATAAGAGATTTTCTTTGTCCTTGGTTTGAGGACCCAGCCTCATCCAGGGTAAGGCTCTCCAGTTCCTTACTCCTAATGACATCTGCAAGGGCTTTTTTTCAAATAATGCCCCATTCACAGATTCCGGGGGGACAGACAGGCCTGGGCAGCGGGGCAGGGCACCATTCAGCCCCCTGCAGGTGCCGTCCTGTGTCTTGGCCTTGGCACTCTCTCACCAGTGGTGACACGTGACATGCTCTTGTAGGTCTTCACTGATTTGTGCGGTGACTGCTTCTGTCCGTGCCCACCACACCGAGGACCTGTCCCGGGCCTGCAGAGTTCCCAGGACAGGCCCCTGGCCTGGACCACAGGGTGAAGAATGGTTCAGAGGGCCGCACGGGCGAGCCTGGGGCTGGGCCTGCACCATCTGCCTGGGGAGCTCTGTGTCCTCATGGGAGCCTGGGCAAGAGTCAGAGGGAAGCAGGAAGACAAGTCAGACTCTAGACTGTAGGAGGCGGGGACCACAGGGCAGGATCCTTTGTCAAGAGGGCAGTTTATCAGAACGAGTCCACATGCACCATGCCTGGGCCAACCCTAAGAAGGGCTGCATCGGGCCCTCGCTGACAGCCCAGCAGGTACAACTCTGCACTTCCACTGATGGGGGCACAGGTTCGATCCCAGATCGAGGAACTAAGATCCTACCTGTCGAGCAGTACAGGAAAAGGAAAAAAATAGGAACTTCCCTTGTGGTCCAGTGGTTAAGAATCTGTCTTGCAATGCAGGGGACCTGGCTTTGATTCCTGGTCGGGGAGCATATGCCGAAGTGCAACTAAGCCCGTGCACCGCAAGGAAAGATCCTGGGCACCACAACTAAGACCAAAACAGCCAAACAACATATAAAGAAAGAAAGAAAGGTTGTGTTGTTCGCATGCAGGTGCCCAGGCATGGAGACAGTCCCCCAGAGCGCTGGCAGTGGCTCTGAGCGTCAGCCAGACACACGGGGCGTGACACAGTCGCCATGCACCCCAGACGGACAGCCTAGCCACTGGCTGAGAAAAATCCCTCCAGCCTAATTTCTCTTTGTTCGTTTGGGAGCAGTTTTAGATTTACAGAAAAGTTGCAAAAGTAATTCAGAGTTCCCCCCAGCACCGCACACTCCCAGTTTCCTGTATTAATAACATCTTCTGTTAGTGTTACATTTGTCACAACTAATGAACAAATACCGATGCATTATTATTTTTAAAGTGACTAATTTTTTGCTGGCGGGCTTTCTCTAGTTGTGGGGGGTGCTGCTCTCTAATTGTGGTGCATGGGCTTCTCACTGTCCTGGCTTCACTTATTGCAGAGCAAAGACTCTGGGGCACAAGAGCTTCAGGGGCTGAGGCTCTTGCGCTCTAGAGCTCAGGCTCAGTACTTGGGATGCATGGGCTGAGCTGCCCCCAGGCCTGTGCAGTCTCCCTGGACCAGGGATCGAACCCGTGTCCTTTGCATCGGCAGGCGGATTCTTTACCACTGGACAACCAGGGATGTCCGTGACACGTTATGATTAACTAAAGTCCATTGTTTATTCATAGTTCCTCAGTGTTTCCCTAATGTCCTTTTTCTATCCCGGATCCTCACGTTACATTTAGTCATCACCGTCACTTCTTTTCAGGCTTCTCTGGGCTGAGATAGTTTCTCACACTCTCTTGGTTTTGATGACCGTAACAGGGTGGAGGAGAACTGGTCTGGTGTTCGGTAGGATGGCCCTTGGTTGGGATTTGTCCGCTGTTTTTCTCATGGTTAGACTGGGCTTCGGAGAGGAGGAGCCTTTTTCATCACACAGGTGCCAGGGCATGTGCCGTGAACGTGACTTACCACTCTGGTGCTGACCGTGATCACCTGGCTGAGGGGGTTTCCTGGCAGCTGTCTTCACTAAAGGGACTCCCCTCCACTTTCTGTGCTGCGCCCCTTAAAGGGAAGCCACCACCCATGGCCCACACCTCAGGGCGCACGCTTGTGCTTCCCTTCTTCCAGGGCTCAGCGTCTGTGTCAGTTACTTGGGAGTCTTCAGCCTGGGAGATTTGTCTCTTCCTCCTCATTTATTTATTCAATCATTTATTTATGTTCATGTGGACTTGTGGATAATTATTTTGCACTTCGGGCTATAATTCAACACTGCTGGGACTTCCCTGGTGGTCCAGTGGTTAAGATTCCGCACTTGCGCTACAGGGGGTGTGGGTTCCATCCCTGGTTGGGGAACTAAGATCCAGCATGCTGTGGTGCAGCCAAAATAATAATAATAATCCAACACTGCTTTATTGATTTTGTTGCTCACAGTGTTCCTGCTTTGGCCACTGGGAGCTCGCACCATTGGCTGTGGCTCCTGGCCGGCACCTCAGGGTGGCCCAGGCTCATCCTTAAATTTCTGGCCCTATCTTAGAAGCAGCCCTCCCTCCCCGAGTCAGGGACTGTTTTAGGTTGGAAACAGCAGCAGAGGCCACTTGGAACAGAATCCTGCTTGTGCTTCCTAGGATGTCCCACACCAGCAGTGCTTGGGAGCACCCAGAGGGCAGGAGGGGCTTCCACGCTGGCTCAGGGGGTATCTGCCTCAGGAAAGCATGGGGCCCCCCAGGGGGCTTGGTGCTAAAGAATCCGCCTGCCAATGTAGGAGCCACAAGAGACACAGGTTCGATCCCCGGGTCAGGAAGATCCCCTGGAGGAAGAAATGGCAACCCACTCCAATATTCCTGCCGGGATGGACAGAAGAGCCTGGCAGGTTACTGTCCATGGGGTGACATGTGACTGAGCACGGGAAAGCATAATATTTTTAAAAATATTTATTTTTATTTTTGGCTTGGGTTCCAGCTGCCCTGTGGCATGTGGGATCTTAGTTCCCCCACCAGGGATCGGACCCACGTCCCCTGCATTGGAAGGCGGATTCTTAACCACTGGACTGCCAGGGAAGTCCCAAGGAAGCCTGCTGGTTCATTGGGTGATTTTATTTTATTTTATTTTTTTTAGTTCTACCAGTTTATTGCTACCAACCCATCTCCCTCCACCTTGTGCACACATGCTCAGTCATGTAACCCCATGGACTGCAGCCCGCCAGGCTCCTCTGTCCATGGACTTTTCCAGGCAGGAATACTGGAGTGGGTTGCCATTTCCTTCTCCACACTGGGTGATTTTAAAGCACAGGAACTGAGACCTCCAGGACCCAGGGCCCACTGGCATCTCGCTGACACCAGTGCTTCATATTGTACGTTTTTCCTCCCGGTCCTTTCCCTGTGGTTGGATAAGCTTTGAGTGCGCTTCCTCGGGAGGTTAAAGATAGGTTTGTTACCAAAACAGTGGGTTCACCTCTTGGTGGATGTCGAGCAAATAGACACAACCAAGAGCAAAGATGGGGAGAAGGAAGGACTTCTTACTTGAGGTTGTTAGGGTGGACTCTCATCCACAGGACTGGGCATCCATACAAAGCGGAAAAAACATTCTTTATAAGAGGAAATTTGGACACAAACCTGTGTTAACCTGAAGACTGGGTTTGCCTCTTTGTGAATGTTAAACCAATAGACACAACCAGGCCAAAGATGGGGAGAAGGAAGGGCTTTTTACCTGCAGCAAGTTAAGGGAAATACAAGGGGCCTTTTCCAAAGCAGCGTCTCCCTGAAGAGCAAAGCTGGGGAAGTCTTGAGCTCAGGGTCCCTGAGCATTCATGAAAGGGCTTGAGCAGAGAAGTCAGCATAGAAGTGGGGCAAAGGTCCAGAGTCCAAGCTTCGGTTGATCGAAGTCAGGAGGATCAACGTCATTCCACCCTCCACCTGCTTGGGTGCCTTAGGTCCCAGAGAATTCAAAGATATATTTATTATTATGTGCATGCTTTGGGGAGGAACTTGGACTCTGCCTTATTTGACTGACTTTCCTCTGTTCCTGCCTTCCTTTGTTCCCTTAAGATCATTAATTACTGAGACCTGTTCAAGGACAGTCATTGCCTCCAGGCTTCGATCACATAATGGTTTAGGCCAAAATGCTTCTCTTTTGTCAGGAGAGCCATTCCTGGTTCTTTCTCCAGGGACTCCCTAACTGATCTGCTTACAGGTTTCCAGGGAGGGCTCCTCAAGTATTAGGACACTTACTATAAGCTTGGCCACAAAGGGCAGGCAGCCACACAGCAGGACAAAGGTGACCTCTTTTTTAAAAGTTACTTTTATTTGCTTCTTTTTGGCTGCCCTGGTCTCTGTTGCTAGGAGCGGGCTTCCTCTAGCTGCAGCAGGCCGGTCCGCTCTTCGTGTGGTGTGGGGGCCTCCCATTGAGGCGGCTGCTCGTGTTGTGGCACACAGGCTTAGTCGCCCCGTGGCATGTGAGAACTTCCCTGACCAGGGAGCAGACCCATGTCCCTTGCCTCGGCAGGTGGATTCTTGACCACTGAACTAGTAGGGAAGTCCAAAGGTTAATTTTCTAAAAGTATTTCTGAGAATGGAATCTCAGGTCCAAGCTGGCATCACCCCAAAGGGGGTTGGGCTCCAGGGCAAGTGGAGACCTCCAGCCTCCACGCTCTAGAGCCCACCACACCCCGCCTCCGGCTGGGTGACCTGGTTGGCAGCTTAACCTCTCTGTGCCAATAGAGGCAGTTGGCACCAAGTTGAAAAACAACAGAGGACTCAGAGGCCTGTTGGTGATGACGAAATCAAAGAGCTGATGGGAAGTGCTCTTGTAAATGATTAAGCAGTCAGGGCAGGGGACTCTGGCATCCAGATGCAGGTTCTGGTGTCTTTTTCCTGCAGGGAGATTGAAGTCAGGTTAGGCGAAGTGTGCCTCTGCGGCAGTGCTGGCATCGGGTCATTGAGGATGAATCACAGGCCCTGGGCTGGTGGAGGAGGCTGCCTTCTCACCGCGCCCCATTTTGCTCCCCAGGACTGAGTCTCCGCCGTCCTGAGCAGGCCTGGAATGGGTAATGGTGTGAAGGAAGGCGTGGTGCGTTTGCGTGATGATGCCGAGCCCGTCCTGCCCGCGCACGTCTCCTCAAAGGCAAGTACCCCTGCCCCGCCATGGGCATGCTCACCCGCTCCCTCTTCTGTGCTCACACCCCATATAAATCACCCCTCCCACACTGAGGGCGGCGGCAGTGGGGGTGATGCAGGCCACTGCCTACTCCGTTTTTATAGCCCTGTCTGTGCTGTGGATCCAGCTGCCCCACCGCTTGGCAAGAAGTCAAAACCTCACCCACATTTGGCGGGGATGTCAAAGGTGTCCCAGGGTCCCTCTTCTGACTCAGATTTGCCAACACAGGGGAATTAGCCAAAGGTGGGGAGGGCTGAGGGGAGCCCCTCATGCCAGGGAGGAGTTTGCCCTCAGCTCTGAAGTGCATCCCCAGTGACGCCCTTCAGTTGAAGACAAAAGGTTTATTCCCTCATAAAGAAATTGGATCAGGCCCGTGTTTGTTCACCGTAGAAGCCAGGAGAAATTCTCCCACCAGAACCTCGAGCATGGACTAATCCACTTTCACTGCCAGGCTGGCTCCGGTGCCTGCGGGCAGTTCTCAAAGTCCATGGGCTCAAAGGCTGAAGCAGCGTCAACCTCGGGCCCTCCTGACCTTCCCCCAAGCTCCAGGTTGCCCTGCGGAGCACCAGGCGGGCAGGAGGCCTGGTTCTCGGGACCACCGTCACCACGCCGGTCGGCAGAGGGGTGAGCCCCAGAGCAGGCACTCCCTCCCCCAGTTTAGTGAACTTTGCAGCAGCGTATGAGGGAGACGTGGCCTGCCTCCACTGGCCCAGGTGGATCCCGCCAAGTGGACGTGCCCAGCAAAGGCCCCTGTGCCCAGCCTGCACTGGGACCCACGCAGCAGCAGTTGGCCTCCGTGCTAGCTGGCACGGCCCACGTCAGCCTTGCCTACTTGGCTAACCCAGTGCAGGGTGCTCACTCCGCAGTGTCCCGTTTCTTTGGCTAAAGAGCCAGGCATCTTCCAATGGTTTCACTGCTCTCATGGGTCCTGTCTGTGGATCACCCATTTTCTCTCCATCAGGCTGCCTGCCTCACTCTTCATTTGCAAGGATCTCTCCTATGATGAAAAGTTAGAACTGGATATGAAACAATAGACTGGTTTGAAATTGGGAAAGGAGTACGACAGGGCTGTATGTTGTCACCGTTGTTATTTAAGTTATATGCAGAGCACATCATGCAAAATGCTGGGCTGGATAAATCACAAGCTGGAATCAAGATTGCCAGAAGAAATAACAATAACCTCAGATATACAGATGACACCACCCTTATGGCAGAAAGCAAAGAGGAACTAAAGCACCTCTTGATGAAGGTGAAAGAGGAGAGTAAAAAATCTGATTTGAAACTCAACATTCAAAAAACTAAGATCATGGCATTTGGTCTCATCACTTCACGGCAAATGGAAGGGGAAAAAGCAGAAGCAGTGACAGATTTTATTTTCCTGGGCTCCAAAATCACTGAGGACAGTGATGCTTGCGCCTTGGAAGCAAAGCTATGACAAGCCTGGACAGCATATTAAAAATCAGAGACATTACTTTGCCAAGGAAGGCCCATCTAGTCAAAGCGATGATTTTTCCAGTAGTCATGTACAGATGTGAGAGTTGGACCATAAAGAATGCTCAGTGCCAAGGAATTGATGCTTTTGAACTGTGGTGCCGGAGTAGAGTCTTGAGAGTCCCTTGGACAGCAGGGAGATCAAACCAGTCAATCCTAAAGGAAATCAACCCGGAATGTTCATTGGAAATTGGTGCTGAAGCTGAATCTGTAGTACTTTGGCCACCTGGTACAAAGAACTGACTCATTGGAAAAGACTCTGATGCTGGGAAAAAGGGAGGGCAAGAGGAAAAGGGGGCGGCGGAAGATAAGATGATTAGATAGCATCACTGACTCAGTGGACATGAGTTTGCACAAAGTATGGGAGATAGTGAAGGACAGGGAGGACTGGTGTGCTGCAGTGCATGGGGTCCCAGAGAGTTGGACACAAATTAGAGACTGAACAACAACTCATATGATGGTCGTGGAGACTTTGACCATTTGGTGATGCCTTTGCCAACCATGGTGGCTTCCCTGGTGGCTCAGATGGGAAAGAATCTGCCTGCAGTGGAGGAGACCCAGGTTCGATCCCTGGGTTGGGAAGATCCCCTGGAGGAGGGAGTGTCAACCCACTCCAGTATACTTGCCCGGAGAATCCCGCAGACAGAGGAGCCTAGCGGGGTACAGTCCATGGGGTGGCAAAGAATCGGACACGACTGAGCAGCTAACACTTGTCTTTAACGGATAAGCCAGCTGCGTCATGTAGGAGTCCCCGGGCGTGTCAGCGGCCGCCCCCTGCACCGAGCGTGTGAAGGGAGCTCACCGCGTGTGTTCAGCGCACCACACCAAGGGCTCGGGTTTCAGGACGCGTGTCCTTGCACGTGCAGAGCTGGCCTGGTGCTGATGAGCCCTGCAGGCTTCCCAGGAAGTGGGGGAGACGGAGGGACACCTGGGCTCTGCCTGCAGCGTTCACAGCCCGCGGGCGGGCCGCAGGGCATTCCCTGAGCTCACAGAGGCTGGAGGTCAGCGGTCGCCACGCGGATTCACAGAGGGGCAGGTGGGCTTCAGAGCCGGTGCCAGAAACACCCCTGAGCCTTCTGGCATCTCGCGTCCTCGTCCCTGAGAGCCGGCTGTCCAGAACCTTGCTGTGTGACCCAGAAAAGGCAGGGTCCCCGGTGACGGGTCTCTGTGAAGCAAAAAGGTGGCACCCTGCGATAAAGCTTGCCGCAGAAACTGAGTCAGGAACACACTGCCGTGGGGACTTGTTCTTCTAGCGAGAGGTGGGCGGGGCTGCGGGATGGGCACCAGGGGCATTAAGGGCAGGAAACAGGTCGAGGGGCATAGGGCCCTGGGGACATTCACCTGGGACACCACCTGGGGTCTGGGCCAGGAGCCAGCACTTGACTGTCAGAGGTGAGGGACCGGGGAGCAGAGAGGCCCTCCAGTCACTGCAGACAGACCCAGCCCTCCCCCTGAGCCTACCACAGAGCTGAGCAAACCTGGGCATCGCACTGGACTCCAGCATGCCCACTCAGGAACGCAGACTGCCAGTCGAACCCCTCAAAGGCCCCCTCATTACTCCCCATCTCGCAGCCTCCTCTGGTCCCAGCCTCTGCTGTCTCAACCCTGGGTGTCACAGGAGCTGCCTCTTCTCTGGTTCCAGTTAAAATAACCTGTTCACCTTGCACGCGTCTCCATTTCTCTGTAGGCCAAGGTCAGCCTCCTTGTCGGGCTCTGTGGGGTCCAGCCTCGCCCACCTTTCGTGGCGTCTCTCTCCCTTCCCTGTGTCAGCCGCCCTGCCCCCAGGACCCCCGCTCCTTCTCACTGGGGCCTCTGAGTGTCCAGCCCCTCCCCCTGGTTAGTGTCACACACACACTCTCGCACGTGCACCCGCGCCCTGCCCTTAGGCGCACCTCATCTTACAGCCTTGGCCCCTTCCCGCATTCTCCTGGCACTCCGAGCCCCCTCCCCACAGCCCCGCCCAGACCGCGGATTCTGCACACGTTTGTCTAAGAGTTCCTCCATGTCCGGCTCCCTCCATCGACTGGCAGCCCTGGCAGGGGAGTGGTGGTGGCTGGTACATCCCCCGCCCCACACTGTGACTCCAGGCTCCTGAGGGCACCTGGGTCGGGTGGACGTCACAGACTCCCAGAGTCGCTGAGCCCCTGCTCCTCACCTCCTTGCTCACTCTATGCCAGAGTCATCGGGGGTCGGGGGAGGTGGGAATGGCACCTGCTCACCTCCAGCACGGTGAGCAGACGGCTTCCTGGGCTGCGATTCGGGGCTCCATGGGCCTCAAGGGAAGGAGGGCTGTTTGAGCCAGCGCTCCGGGAGCCACAGGAAGACTCGGGAAAGCACCGACTTTGAGCCTGGCCACAGGAGCGTGAAGGGCAAGTGAGCCGTGCCTGTCCCGATCGCCTTCGGCTTAGCTGGATGAAGAGCCACAGACACCAGCCTGATGGAAGGTTGTGGAAAGAGCACAGGACACGCTGAACAGTCAGGGTCTGCTTGCCTGACACCCACCATGCACTCCCCAGACCGCAAGGAGCCTTTACCCTGAAACACTGAAGCTCAGGAGTCCCTTGCCATGGGCAGTGGGTGCAGCCAAGGCCTGAAAGTAGGACAGCTGAAGGGCGACTCTTACGTTTGGAGTGAATCCCATCGTAGGCCGTCTCTGGGAACTTAGAGCCATGCGCGGCACCCCCGCCAGCGTGTCACCTCTCACGCGGATGGCCCCTGTGGCCCAGGAGGCTCTCACTGCGTGCCCCCAGGCTCTGTCGGCCGGCGCTGCAGCCTGCCCAGGGCCCAGCAGGGCCGTGTCACCCTGGCCACCATACGTCTGGCCGCCCCCGGCCAGGCAGAGAAGAAAAACCCTTCTCCTGGAAACTGTTCCAAGCAGAGCAGACGCCTCCTCTCCCTCTCTGATGACAGACAGCATGTTTGTGTGTTTTCTTGCAGAGTGATCACAGGCAAGTTCTCAGCTCCCTTCTGTCTGGGGCACTGGCTGGTGCTCTTGCCAAAACAGCTGTAGCTCCCCTGGACCGAACCAAAATCATCTTCCAAGGTGAGCGCTGCCCGTGCACCTGTCACCCGTGACCGACGGGCTGCCAGGCGCCCACCTCCCCCAACCAGGGCCCCGGACTGCACTGCCAAGGGGTCTCTAAAATGCCTCTTTTTAAAAGTATTTATTTGGCTGTGCCGGGTCTCAGTTGCAGCACATGGGATCTTCAATCCTCATTGCAGCAGGCTTTTTCTTGCAGCACGTGGGATCTAGTTCTCGAAATTGGGCCCCCTGCATTGGGAGTGCAGACTCATAGATCCTGGACCACCAGGGAAGCCCTGGAAATGCCTCTTTAGAATCCACTTAGAAAGTCTGTTAGTGTTTAGGACTGGCATCACAAAGTACCAGAAACCAGGCGGCTTAGAACTGCAGGAATTTATTCTCATTTTCTGGAGGCCAGAAGTCCACATTCAAGGGGTCCGTAGGGTTAGCTCCTCCTGGGTCCCTGAGGGAGGACCCTTCCTTGCCTTTTCCAGCTTCTGATGACTCCAGGCACCCTTGGCTTGTGACTGCACCCCCCCCACCCCAGTCTGTATGTCTGGATCCCCTCCTTTTATAAGGACCCACACCATTGGATCACCCTACTCGAGAATGACCTCCATTTAATTACTCCTGCAAAGAGCCCGTTTCCAATTAAGGCCTCATTCATGGGCGCTGAGGGTGAGAGCATACATGGACATTTCTTTGGGAAGACAGTTCAAGAATCCCGTTCCCTCCCTCCTTTGGGTTTAGCAAGCGCAGGGTCCCCTGAAGATGAGGCCTTTGTGTCCCCTACATGGTGGACAGGGTCATAAGCTGGGACCCCTGCCCCTCAGCTGTTTGGGAGGAAGGAACTGCAGGCTGGAGCCAGGCCCCTCCCACTTGCTCATGCTGGCCCCTCACGTCTCTGGGCCTCAGGTTCCTTGTCCATATAACAGGACCGTTGGTACCAACCTCCCGCCTGAGGAGGAGGCGGGGGAGTGAGGGTGAGGACACATCTCCTCCATCAGCTGAGCTGGTCCTGGAACAAATTCTGACCGAAGCACCACACGGGGAGCTGAGTTTAATTCCGAAGGCAGAAGCTGTGCATACACCCCCACAGAGAGGAGTGCAGGGTTGTGCTGGGAAGGCGGCAGACGCTTGGGAAGTGCAGCGTTGGGGATGCTGCTGGGCTGAGACCCCCTCACCCCCTGCTGAGGGAGCTGGAGCCCCTTAGCTGACCCCCGCATGGCTGGCGGCTGGGATGCCTCCCTCCAAGGGACTTGGGGGAGATGAAGTTCAGCCAGGTGGAGACTGCTGGGTGCCGACCCCACCGCCCCCAGAGAGGTGCATCCTTCCACAGGCCCTCACTGTCCTGCAGAGTCAGTGGCAGCTGGGCTCTTCTCCCTGAAGAAGGGGAGAAGTTGGTGTGCAGAGTGGCCTGGGCGTGGCGGTGGTGGGGAGGCTCCTGGGGAGGGGGTGACTTTGCTGGGGATGCCCCACCTCAGCCCTTAATAGGAGTTGAGGGGGGGCATTTCCAGGGGGATGCCCTCACTCCCCATGCTCAAACTAGACCCCTGTGGTGGGGGTCATGCAGACTGGAGTTGGGGGGGCCCAGCCTTCATATCCAACAATCTCTGTTGTGTGTTTTTTTTCCAGTGTCCTCAAAAAGATTTTCTGCCAAGGTGAGCCGCTCGGTCATGGACCCCTGTCTCTGGGGCCTTCACCTCTGCCCTACTGGGCTGGCAGAGGCAGGGGAGGTGGGTGGTAGGGGCTGGGCAAACGCTTTTCAAGGGGCTTTTTCCCACTGGTTCCCCGACCCCCACCCCAGGCCAGCTGCAGGACTGCTGGGTGACCAAGGCCTCCCCTGCCAGGCGCTGGGGCCAAGGCCATCTGTCTGCACCCTGAGTCTGCCTGGACACAGCCCTCCCTGGGAAGTGATGGGAGACCCTGTCCTGGGGGTGGTGATGAGGGGACTTGATGGTCTAAACTCACAGGTTTCACATTTGATATATTTTTAAACACAGAGCAGGTGTCATTGTTGCTTGTTGTGGTTTTAGTCACTAAGTCACATCTGACTCTTTGCGACCCCATGGACTGTAGCCTGCCAGGCTCCTCCGTCCATGGGATTTCCCAGGCAAGAATACTGGAGTGGGTTGCCATGCCCCCCTCCAGGGGATCTTCCCCGCCCAGGGATCAAACCCACGTCTCCTGCATTGGCAGGTGGGTTGTTTACCACTGAGCCACCTGGGAAGCCCACAGAGCAGGTGTTGTCTTCTTAATAAAGGAAAATAAAGAAAATTTTAAAAGCTAGGCTTCCAAACACCTACCAAACCCCCTTAGTGGGGCTAAGTCTGCTTTGCAACCCTGCTTTCCCCCGTCTCACTTCATGGTTCCCAGGGTTGGAAGAGAAGGCGCGGGGGTTCCCGCGCAGAGCCCGGGGGACGCGGGGGCGGTCTGTGAGGTCCCCGCCCTTCCCAGGCGCAGGGCTGGTCTAAGGACGGCGAGCTGGGAGGGCAGCGGCGCTCCGCCCTCGAAGGCCGTCAGAGGCCTGGGGCGCTGACACCGCCCCTCCCCTGCCTGCCCCCAGGAGGCCTTCAGGCTCCTCTACTTCACCTACCTCCACGAAGGCTTCTTGAGCCTGTGGCGCGGCAACTCGGCCACCATGGTGCGTGTGGTACCCTACGCCGCCATCCAGTTCAGCGCGCATGAGGAGTACAAACGCCTCCTGGGCAGCTACTACGGCTTCCGCGGAGAGTGAGACCCCGCTTCCGCCCCCCAAAAAGCCCCGGCCCTCTCAGCTCTGTTACCGCACCCTGTTCTGTCTTCCACCTGGCCATGTCAGAACTTCTCTCGTTTCCCCGGTCTCCTCGAACCTACGTCCCAGGACGGCCACGGTCCCCCTGTGCCCCAGAGCAGGTGGGAAAGACGCCTGTCCTTCATTCATTCAGACAAGCAGGGGCAAAGGCAGGCACCCCAAGAGACACCCCCCGCCCCGCCCATCAGCTCGGGAACAGGCTTCCCCTCCCCCACCTCTACCCCACCCCAGACCTGTGGGCCCCCGGAGCCCTGGGCGCTCACCTTCACCCCTGCCCGCTTTCAGAGCCCTGCCGCCTTGGCCCCGCCTCCTCGCGGGCGCGCTGGCTGGAACCACGGCCGCCTCGCTGACCTACCCGCTGGACCTGGTCAGAGCGCGGATGGCTGTGACCCCAAAGGAGATGTGAGTCTCACCCTGGTTCTCACCAGCACCGGGGGCTCTGTGTCTAGTGGGGTCCCCGGAGGGCTCCCCCACCCGGCCCCTGGGGACAGGGTCTGGGCCTCTCTGCAGTGGCGCATGAAGCTGTGCCGAGGCTGTGTTGCCCCGACCTCCCTGGGCCCCGCAGCTTTCCAGGAGGACAGTAACTGGGTCTCTCAGCTTCGGTGGCAGTCTGCTTCCAGCAAACCCAGAGTCTCCATGTTGAGTCGAGAACAGATCTGCTTAAAATGCATCTGAGTAAAAAACCAAGGGCCGAGCACAGCAAAGAGCCCAGTGGTGAAGGTGGCCTGTGGATTGGGCATGCGTGGTCCCTCAAATGCCAGAACTTCTGCATGGTGGCTCTGTCAACATCCAGGCCTGCCCCCGCTGACTGGGAGGAGAGAGAATTAGTGAATTGATGTCTGCAGCCCCCACCCCCACCCCCGCACCGCTCTGTCCTACAGGTACAGCAACATCTTTCACGTCTTCATCCGCATCTCGAGAGAAGAGGGGCTGAAGACCCTCTACCACGGATTTGTTCCGACCGTGCTGGGGGTCATTCCCTACGCCGGCCTGAGCTTCTTCACCTATGAGACCCTCAAGAGCCTGCACCGAGGTGAGGAGCGCCAGCTAGGTCAGCACCTCTGCGGGGTGCACACACCTGTGTGTGGATGGATGGGGAGGTGGAGGTGGATGGGGGCGAGTGGAGGGAGGGGCAGGCTGGAGGTCCAGGGTCTGGATCAGGAGAAGACAGAACAAATAAGCCCGCTGATACCTGCTACTTGGTGTGATCTGGTGTTAACAATCTGCCTTATTTGCTCCAAGTTGTTTTTTGTTAAGGAAAACAGTCAGGGTAAAGCCGAGATCCCTGGGACCCAATCCCCAGCCCCTCTCCCCTCACCCCTGCCTCTTTATTAGGGTCGGCTCCACCTTTCGCCTTCATTGGAAACCCTTCTCCCTGGGCTTGAGCGCAGCCTCTGCGCTGTTCCTGGTTATCGGAAATGGCTGAGCGGCTGCCCCCTGCGCTTGTGGTAGTGCAGCGCTGGTCCGTCCTGTTTGGGGGACGGTGACCCCCGTGGGGGGCGGTGAGGCTGTTGCAGGTTTTCTGTGTTCAGTTGACTTCCAGGAGCTGTTCTCCTCGTGTGGGTCTGAGACCTCGTTCTCTGTTTTACCTTTTCCACCCTCTGCTCCTCCCGCGGCCCAGCTTGTCCTGGGGCCCACTCCCTTCCCTCCCACTCCTGGTGCTGACAAGTTCCGTATGTTCTGCCAGTCTGCTGAGTGACTAGGGCGGTTCCCTGTTTTTAATCCCTAAGTTCAAATTGAAAACCGCGTGTTTTTAAAGAACCCCTATTGATCCCTTGCTGTTCCCTCCTCCCTCCAGCCGGTAGGTCCTCACACCAGCTGTAGAGAGGGCACCTGTTGGGCAGGCTGGGCAGTGTAGAGGGTTCGGGGCAGAGTGATTTTCTTTACAAGATGGGAAACAAGAGTGACTGGATCTGAGCTTGTTCTGGGTCATAGAGCTTGGTTATATGATTCTTTGTGCTTTGCAGTTGTAAAAATCTTTTGGATCTCACATTTGGTTAAAAATGGGGGATCAGTAGGTGAGGAAGAAGGGGAGCCGTGGCCCAGGAGAGCTGGTCGGCCTTGAAGCCCTGAAGCTGTGACACTGCGTGCACGTGTGAGCGCGGTGCAGGGGCCCGCGGGTGGATGCCAGCACCCCTGGCTGCCAGAGCGCCCCTTCCCATCGCCCTCACAGCCCCTCCCACCCTTCCCCCTGCAGAGTACAGCGGCCGCCCGCAGCCATACCCCTTTGAGCGCATGATTTTCGGGGCCTGCGCTGGCCTCATCGGGCAGTCTGCCTCTTACCCGCTGGACGTGGTGCGGCGGCGCATGCAGACGGCCGGCGTCACAGGCCACCAGCGCACCTCCATCGTGCGCACCATGCGCACCATCGTGCGGGAGGAGGGCGTGGTGCGCGGCCTCTACAAGGGCCTGAGCATGAACTGGCTCAAGGGCCCCATCGCCGTGGGCATCAGCTTCACCACCTTCGACCTCATGCAGATCCTGCTGCGACACCTGCAGAGCTAGGGGCGGGTGGGGTCGGCCACGCTAGAGCTTCAGTTGGCAGTGGACCGCTGACCCCTTCCATGTCTGAGCCCAGGGAGCAAAGATGTGCCGGGTTCCACGCAGAAGGCGCACGGATGCGCCTTGTGGAACGAGCTGGGGGCCTGGGGGGCCTGAGCTCACTGCGGCCCAGGTCTGAGGGGAAAGCCGGGGGCCCTTGTGCGTTGTTGGGACTGGGGGCGGGGTTCCCACGCGCTCCTCTTCCGGCCTCAGCTGGGCTGGGGCTGCCCCTGGAGGGGTTCGCTGTGACCGCCCTGAGTGGAGCGTGGCCAGCACTGCCTCCCGGTGTGTTCTTTGCCCTTGGACAGGCTCCTGGTTCTAGGGACCTGGTCCCCACTAGGCTCAGAGCCAGACCTCGCCTGCCCCTTGCTGTTCTGAATCTGTGTTCTTGGGTGGAGGTAGGAGCGGGTGGGGGGAGCCCCAGAGAGTGTGGGGCCAAGGTCTGGCCTCCATGAGACCAGCCGTCTACTCAGCTGTGGCTCCAAGTGCAGCCTCCCACCCTGCCCCGCCTTTTCCTGCCTTCACCACTATTTCCCAGGTGACTTCTCCCTCCCCAGAGCCTGTGGCTTCTTCCAAGAGTGTTATCCTGATCGCAGACTCCTGATCCCAGGCCCCAGAGTTGGGTCTTCCCCTCTGTTACCCCTCTCCCACGCAGTTCGCACGGGTCCCAGGAGGGTCACGCCTCCAGGCAACAGGGTTTGAGGAATCGCCATGGGTTTGGGTCTGAGTCCCAACCTGGAGGCATCTGCCTGGATTGCCAGGAAGCTCCCGGCCCTACTCCACTGGCTGCAGTAATGGAGGCTGGGCCTCAGGCCCTGACCCTCTGCCCCTGGGCGTGGGGGCTCCTGGGGGGAACCCATGGCATCTGGCACATTGTGGGTGCCCCACCTGAGCAGTTTCTTGGCTGGGACATGGGGCGATTTAAGGCCTGTGGGGTTGTCTGATTTGAGCCCGAGACAGCATCTGGGCTGGGGGCAGGAAGCTTGAAAGAGGCAGGGTCCCCCAGGGAGCTGGTCTCATGGAGTACCCCCCAGGGCCCACCAGGAATCACAGGGACTCAGAAACACCTGTTTTCTAATGACGTTTGGAGTTTGATTTTTGCTTTTGTTTTTCAATCTGGCTGGCCCTGGGTCTAGACACCGAAAACCCTAACCAGTCCAGTCTGGTTCCAGGGCCAGGACGAGCAGTGGGCTCAGTAGCCATGAGGTGTGAAGGCCTGAGAGGGTGTGTTTCTGCCACACTTGCATTTCCTACTGTGGCTGCCATTTCCCCCTTTTATTCTGTCCTGTTCCCGTTCTTGCCTTAGTCCCCTGGGTGCGAAGACCCCTCCTTCCGTCCTTCCTGCATGTCTCCAGCAGCCAACCGCAGTCTTGTCCGCAGACTCTTGTTCCCAGACTCGCCTCACCTGTGATGGCTGTCCTGTTGGGTAAACGTCACACGCACCTTCTCTCCCAGCCTTGCCCAGCGCTCAGGAGAGGCAGGGGCACCCCTCACAGGGAGACGGGATGGGAACATGAGGGTGCCCAGGCCGGGGGTCCGCCCCTGGTGGGTGAGACTGAATGGATGTCTCGGCAGTGCCCTCCTCTGAGCTGCAGGCTGGGCTGGAGCAGGGAGGGCCCCAGCGTTACCCGCCCCAGAGCGCCTCTGCAGGGTGGCTCCCACCCAGGTGCACCTCGCCAGCGCCGACTCCCCTTACCCCCAGCCCTGCACACAGTTGGACCTTTGCCCTCGGCAGTCATACCCCTCTCACTGATTGCCTGGCCTGATTTGGAGTTACATTTTGATGCCATGAAGACACTTTGTTTATACATAATGTTTATATATTTTAAAGATTTGTGCCAAGAGAGTATATTTAATAAAAATCAAAATGATTTTTTTTCTCCTGCCCATGTCTCTTCTTCAGCTCTGACCCTCATCCCCTAGGAACCAAAAACATGGTTGAAGTTATTTTGACAGATTGTTGAATAACCTTTTTTTTTAAAAAGAATGTAATTGCTGTATGGATTGTTAACCCTAACCTTGATTTGGTCAGGATTTGCTAGAAAATGCAAACTGCACGCAGAGTTTACTGTGAAAAGTAGGTCTGGCTCCCTGTTCCCTTTGCAGGGACATCTCCCATTACCAGTGCCCCCTCCCAGAGAGATCCTGCATGCACACACTTGTCCCTTTGGGGACATCTGTCGGGATGGGCTGTGACCTGCTTCAGTGAGCACTGCCCCAGAGTCCCATGGTTTCTCCAGAGACCTGGGTCTGCTCTGTGATGGGCTGAGGCTTCCAGCATGAGTGTCACTGTCCACAGGGGCAGGAGGGTGAGGCCACCAGAGGGCTCCCAGGGGTCCTGAGACTCACCTCACCTGCAGCCCATCGTGTGGAATGGCCTGCAGCACCCACCCAGCCCGGGACCAGGAGTGGGCGCCTCCGTGGGCAGGGGAGAGACAGGCCGGGGGAGCACACGTGCCCGTGCACAGAGGTAGACTTGGTCCCGGGATGGCCCACAGGCTGCTCTGCGTGCTGCGTTCATCCAGCCATATTTCTTGCAGGTCGGTAGCTGTCAAATACAGGATGCGTTTAGTAGCAGTTTCGTGTTCCCCAGGGGGATGGCCTGTGATGAGATCCACCAATCCCTATTGACCAGCAGCTAGGTTGTTACTGAGTTGTTGCCATGCCAACCTGGTAGTGGCTCCAGCAATTCCACCACCCCCTCCCCAACATCCATCTCAACTTCTGGTCAGTCCCATTTCTCACACCGTCTCCTGAGCCTGAGGGGTGATGTCGGCCCCTCCTCACTCTCTTCCAACATTGTGGCATCCCCTAATATACAGAGGAGAGCTCTTGACCCCGTCTGGACCTGTGACAATAAAGATGTTTGCTAACCACTTCCAGGGAGACCCTCAAGATGTAACCTTCCTCTTCCACTGGCCCAGGAGATGAAACCCCAACCATGGGTGGTTGTTGGCGCTATCTTGTGACTGCAAGGTTGGAAGGGTGAAGATGCCACTGCAGAAAGTGGAGCAGAGGGACTTTCCTGGTGGCCCAGTGGTTAAGTCGCCACACTCCCCGTGCAGGGGGGCCCAGGTTCAACCCCTGGTTAGGGAACTAGATCCCACAGGCCACAACTAAGACCTGACTTGGCTAAATAAATAAATTTTTTTTTTTAAGTAGAGCAGAGATGACCAGAGAAATTGGATTTCTTGGTGACATTGTTTGGGATGCTAGATTCAGTTTTACCTGAAGCTAAACTACCTCTCAACTTCCAACAACACAAGTCATTTTATTCCCTATTTAAAACAGAGTTGAATTTCCTGGCCCTTTCTGACACAAACCTCCTTGTATGTACCTCATTGAGCTCATAAGGTAGTATTCCTGTAGCCTAAGTTTCTAGGAATGAAATTGCTGGATAAATATCAGGGATATATTAATAGTATAGTTCATGCTGGTGGCAAGCCTGGCGTTCATGGTTCCCACCCTATTTTTAGCTATAAGCCACCTGGACCCAGCCTAGGGTTCCCTGCCGGAACACAGTCAGGAGCCAATGACTGTGGACAGCTGAAGCGTATGTGATGCAGCCCCTCAACACCGGCATGGGACCACTCAGGCTGTGCACCACGCTTTCCCCTGAGGTCCCCAGCAGGACCCAGCCCAGATCGCCCAGAGTCTCTGGCTCATTGGCGCTCCCTGCTGGCTTCTTTCCTCCCTGTCTGACATCCCTACCCTCCTAGAGGCTTCCTGAGGTCACCTCTCAGGTGAGGTCCCTGAGTCTTACAGACAGGGTCATCTTTGGGGGGAAATCTATCCAAAGATGAATAGAAACATCAGCTATTCCTGCAAAGAGATTGTATCCATGTACACCACATGCCTCACGTCTGAGTTTCCTATGGCCACCCTAACAGAGTACCATGGGCTGAGTGGCTTAAAATAACAGAACTTTATTTTGCCAAAGTTGGAAGCCAGAGGTCCAAAATCAAAGTGTTGGCAGGTTTGGTTCTGAGGGCCAGGAGGGAAGGATGTGTTCTAGATCTGTTACTGAGCTCTGACTGACCGGCTTCTTCCTGTGTCTTCCCCCTTGTCTTTCTTCTGTGCTTGTGTAAGCAGAGAAGTTAGGGGGTTCCAGGAGAAAGAGAACCAGGAATGGCTCTCGACATAAGAGAAGCCGTTTTGGCCTAAGCCACTGTGTGATCTCAGCCAGGCTGCACTGCTTATCCTTGAACAGGTCTCAGTAATTAATGATCTTAAGGGAACAAAGGAAGGCGGGAACAGAGAAAAGGCAGTCAAACAATAGTGTAGTAATAAAGCAGAGTCCCAGTTCCTCCCCTTTAAATTTTTTAATTGATGTTGATTTATAGTGTTGTATTGTGTAAGTTTCAGGTGTGTAGCACAGAATATGTATATTCTTTTTCAGATTCTTTTCCCTATAATATATATCTTCAAGTTCTGCAGGAACTGAGGCCCCCAAGCAGGTGGAGGGTAGAATGATGTTGATTCTTCTGACTCCAATCAACTAAAGCTTGGATTCTGTGGACCTTTGCCCCAGTTCTATGCTGAATTCTCCTCTGCTCAAGCCCTTTCATGAATATACGTGTACCCTGAGCTTAAAACTTCCCCAGTTTTGCTTTCAGGGAGACACTGCTTTGGGAAAGATCCCCAGTGTTTCCCTTACTTGCTGAAAGTCAATATAACTCCTTCCATTCATCTTCAGCTTGGTTGTGTCAGTTGGCTCAACACCTACCAAGAGGTGACCCTAGTTTTCAGGTAACACAAGTTCAGGTCCAAATTTCCTCTTATAAAAAATTTTTTCTCCTCTTGTAAGGATACTAGTCCTACTGGATCAGGGCCCACCCTATCAACCTCATTAAAAATATATATATATTTATTTGTTTTTTGCTGCACTACATCTTCACTGTTGCACCCAGGCTTTCTTGATTGTGGCGAGCAGGGGCTACGGTTCCTTGGGGTGGCCGCTGTTCTGGCAGAGCACGGGCTCTGAGTGCCTAGGCTCAGTAGTTACAGCACACGGGTTTAGCTGCTCCACATGTGGGAGCCTCTTGGACGGGGAATCAAACCTGTGTCTCCTGCATTGGCAGGTGGATTCTTCATCACTGGGCCACCAGTGAATCTCCAACCTCATTTCAGCTTAATCACTTTTAATCCCTATCTCCAAATACAATCACATCCTGAAGTCCTGGGGGTTCGGACCTCAACATAGGAATTGGGGCGGGGCGGGGGGGGACACAATTAGATCATAAACACCAGCCTTTTTGATCTTCCATAAACTGACAAGTTAGAAAACAGCATCTCACAATTTAACACTACCTGCTTTTTTGTCTCCCTGGAGTCCATCTGAGAGCGTTCCTTGTAAGAAGAAATCAATTCTTTTCGTGTAGTCTCCCCAGTTTATTTACTTGTTCTCATGTCAGCTTTCTGCCAGGGCTTCTCTTCCTTCCAGGCCTTTGCTAAGCTCTTCCTCCATCATTCCCCTCACTCAACAATGTAGGCCCTCTGCAGACTCTCCAGCCCCCCACCCACCCTGCCACAACATGCAGAAAGCTGCCTCCCAAACCACTTGAATCCTGTTTGTTAAAAGTGGCTCGCTCCTTTATTTGTTCAGAAGAGTGCCCCCTCGACGCCACACACGCCCACTGCAGTCAAACTGGGCAGGGGCATTCTGGGAACAGTGGCCGGCCGTGGGACCCTCTGCTGCTGGGTCTGGGGAGGCGGTTTCGAGGCAGAAGCTCAGCGTCCAAGGCAGGGCCCACGGCTCAGGCACTGTGGTGAAGGGGGAGCCGAGCAGCAGGAACTCCGGAGAGCGCCTTGCACCTGGGGACCCTGAGGGGGTGAGCCGGGCCCGCTGGCCCAGGACCAAACCCTGGGGCCACAGGAGTGTCTGCAAGAGGGCTAGGAGCCCGCCAGATGCTGGTGGAAGTACAGACCAAAGAGGCTGGAGAGCAGTTGGCAGGCGGCGATCCACCAGATGAGAAAGGCGAGGACTCCGCGGAGGAAGAGCGGCGTGAGCAGGCTGCCCAGGGCCCCAGCGATCAGGGCTGCAGTCTGCTGGGCCTCATCCTCCTCGGGGCCGACCAGGCCATCGTGGGCTGAAGACGGGGCGGGGGACAGCGTGGGGACCGGGCCCAGGCCCCAGGAGTAGCCGCCTGCAAGAAGAGGGTAGAGGGAGGGGCGGGTGGAGGTACAGGCGGTGTTGGCCTCCGGGACCCCAGACCCCGGCTGACAGTCACCCGCCCCGCCCCAGGCTCTACGCGCACCCCATCTTCGGGCCCCATTCGGGGCTTCGCCTCGCGCTCTCCAGCCTTCGCCAGCCAGGCTCTCCAGCCTCCGCCCCCTCCGTCATGCCAGGCCTCGCTGTCACCTCGATCCATTCCGGGCCACCCCTCCCCCCACTCACCCCGTTACAACCCCAGCCCCTTAGCCCCGCCCTGCTCCAACTCCAGGCCCCGCCCCCGCCCCGCCCCCGCCCCGCCCCGGCCCGGCCCGCCCCCGCCCCGCTTCCGCGCTGGCTGGTTCTCACCCAGGGTCTTCAGCAGCAGCGTGCAGTTGAGCGTGAGGATGAGCGGAGTCAAGTACTGCAGGCTCACAACAGTCACGTAGCAGTACACCCGCACCACCTGGTGGGCAGGTAGCAGTGGCTGCAGCCGGGGACCTTCGCGCTCCGGGTAACCTCAGCCCAAGGGGCCGGGAGCCCACACCCCGAGCCCCAGGGTCCCTCCCCGCCAGCGTTGGTACCCGCCGCTGGATCTCCCGGGCCTCGATGCGGCCGGCCTCCCGCCGCAGCTGCTCCACGCGGGCCTTGGCCAGGCACAGATAGGCCTGCAGGTGGGGCCGGGTCACCGCCAGCCGCAGCAGGCACAGTACCACCAGCACCCAGAGGCGCAGCGAGTCGAAGGCGGAGTCAGACAGCCTGTGCCGAGAGGGGCGACGGGGTTAGTGAAGCCGTCCTCGGTCCCAGGACCCTCCCGCAGGACCCAGGGCTCCCCTCTTAGCCTCGGAGTCCAGGGTACCCAGAGGGGGCCCCAGCGGCCCGGCCTCCCAGCCCCACTGCCGTACTCACAGCGAGAAGGACGTGCGCCCCAAGGGAGCCTGATGCAGGAAGTCCCGCGCCATGGGCTTGGTCCAGAGCCACAGCACGAACAGCGGGGACAGGAAACTGGTGTGCAGGAGGAACCTGGGGGCAAGGGCACAGTGCTGGGAGGGTGGGCACCCAGCATCCCCCTTGCAGCCCCCTCCAGGCTCCCTATCCCGCACCCCTCACCCAGCCGGTCCCCCACGTAACTGCAGCATGGGCCGGTCTTCAGACATGGTCAGGGCATCATGGTGGGTCTGGGCCAGTCGCAGGCCTGGGAAGGTGAGGAAGGCACCCAGCAGGGAGCCTGCCACCGCCAGCCCCACGCGGATGGCCAGCTTGACCAGAGGAAGACTGGGGGAAAGAGAGGGGTCAGGGGGCTCCTGCGGCAGCTCTGCACCCTGCGTGCAGGTCCAGCCTGCCGCGGCTCTCCCTCCCTTCCCAGGACTCACGCCCAGTCCCAGCCTTGCATCTTCAGAAGTGGCTCCAAGTTCTGGGACATACTATCCAGGCCTGGGGAAGACAAAAAGAGGATGGTGTCCAACAGACCCCCGGGCCCAGAGCCCACTCTGCCTTGCCTCCCAGATGTCCATCTGCTCCCCTGGTGAGAACACACTAGTGACAGCCAGGCCCTGCGACAAGCATGAGGACAAGTTTGTTCTCCAGTCTGGTGCAGCTCAGGAGAATGTGCCAGGCAGACACTCTTGATTCGACCAGGGGACACAGGGGCAGTGGGCACTGGGCCTGAGCTTCCTGGATGCTGACGGGTCATGAAGGGCTTCACAGGAGAAAATCAGCATCCCGGAAAGAATTCTCAGTTCAGGCCCCCACATTTTCCACAGAGTAAAAGCGAATAAATATGAGCTCACAACCAAAATCACCAGACACATAAGGAAACAAAGCATCATCAAAGTGAATCAGCAGAAGAAAAAAAAAAAGATAAGCTTAAATTCCAAAGACTTTAGAAATTGGTATAAATTCTGTGTGAAGTAACTGAGGAATGTAAAAGCTGGAGACACAGAACTGGTGGCATGAGACTACCTCAGAGGACCAAGTGGATTTGCCAAGGAACCGATTAAGCTCTTCCAAAAGGAAAATACAATTACCGAAATGACAGGTTGTTAGCATACTAGAAACAGCCCAAGGAATAACTGATGAACTGGATCTGAAGAAATAATTCAGATTCCAACTCAGAAAGACAAGAAGGTGTGAAATATTAAGGGAGATTAATAGACAAGGAGGACACAATAGAAAGCTCAGTACAAGTGAAGTCAGAGCCCAGAGTGAGAGGAGAGAGAGGATGAAGGAGAAGAGATACTGGGGGAGAATGACTGAAGAGTCTGTAGAATGCATGACACATACAAAGTATATAAACCCAGATAAATACAAAGACATCCATACCTAGACACACTGTGGTGGAACTGCGGAATACCAAAAACAAAGAACTCACAGAGCAGTCAGAAGTTATGACAGATCACCTAAAAGGAAAGACAATTAATTTGGCAGTCACTCTCAACGCCAACAACAGGAAAGAACAGATAGAACGTGAAAATGTAAGATGGTAGAAACACGGCCAAAAAGGTCAGAAATCACAATAAATGTAAGTGGATTAAACTTGAAGTTAAATGATACAGCCCGTCAGACTTGATTGTGTTTTAAAGTAGACATATCTCAACATGAGGTCACTGGAAGGTTGAAAGTAAAGTACTAGTCAAAAGAAAGGTAGTACTGTATATTTGAAAGTTGCTAAGTGAGTAGATCTTGAAATTCTCATCACAAGAAAAAAAAATGTGTATGTGGGGTGATGGTGTTCACTAGATTTATTGTGGTGATCATTTTGCAATATAAACAAATATTGAACCATGTTATACACCTGAAACTAATATAATGTTATATGTCAATTATATCTCAATTTAGAAAGAAAGGATGGAAGAAAGAAGCTGAAAAGACTATATTGACACAGACAAACTAGGCTAAGATGGAAGTAAGTCAGAAGGGGTCAATACATCATGAAAAAAAAAAGGCTGATTTGCCAGGAAGATGTAGCATTTTTAAACCTGTAAACACCTTGTCAACTAGCTTCAAAATATATAAAGAAAATACTGACAGAACTACTAAGAGAAATTAAGACTTCCACCATCCCAGAAGTCTGGGGCTTCCCAGGTGGTGCTAGTAGTAAAGAACCCACCTGCCACTGCAGAAGACACGAGAGAGGAGGATTCGATCCCTGGGTTGGAAAGATCCCCTGGAGGGCATGGCAACCCACTCCAGTATTCTTGCCCGGAGAATCCCATAGACAGAGGAGCCTGGAGAGCTATATAGTCCATAGGGTCACAGAGAGTCGGACACGACTGAAGCGACTTAGTACAGCACAGTGCCATCCCAGAGGGAGATTAACTCTTAGTAAAGATGGAAATTTGAATTTATTGGACACAGAGAGGAAGAAAATATATGTTAATCAAGAATACATGGAGCACTCTACAAGGTCAATTAATCTACAACAAAGGAGGCAATATACAATGGGAAAGGACAGCCTCTTCAATAAATGATGCTGGGAAAACTGGACAGCTACATGCAAAAAAACCAAACTGGGTTACTTTCTCACATCATATATAAAAATAAACTCAAAATGGATTAAAGACTTAAATGTAAGACATGAGACCAAAAAAATCCTAGAAGAAAACATAGGTGGTACACATTTTGACATTGGTCTTAGCAATATTTTTTGAACATGTATCTCAGTCAAGGCAAACAAAAGCAAAAATAAGCAAATGAGACTATATTAAACTAAAAAGATTTTGCGTCATGAAAGAAACTATCAACAAGACAAAAAGGCAGCCTACTGAATGGGAGCAGTAGATTCATGAGCGTTTGCATTATTTGGCTTTGTAATTTATATATATGTTCTCATCATATAATTTTAAAATTGAAAGGTACAGCATCGAAACACGTATATTATCTAGGGTGAAACAGATCACCAGCCCAGGTTGGGTGCATGAGACAAGTGCTCGGGCCTGGTGCACTGGGAAGACCCAGAGGGATCGGGTGGAGAGGGAGGTGGGAGGGGGGACCGGGATGCGGAATACATGTAAATCCATGGCTAATTCATCTCAATGTATGACAAAAACCACTGCAATGACGTAAAGTAATTAGCCTCCAACTAATAAAAATAAAAAATAATAATAATAAAAAAAAAATAAAAATAAAATTGAAAGGTAGGAAGTATTGGTGATAACAAAGCTCACGGAGTCAGCAGGGTCATGTGGCCCATGGTGAGGATTTCTATCTTTATCCAAAGACCATTAGAGTTTGGTGTTGGGCAGAAGAGTGATCCAAATTATGTTTTTAAAAGATCATTCAAGAAGATGAAAAAAATCAAAACAAAAATGAGAAACTGAAAAAAAATTTACAACTCCTATCACACATAAAGGCTGATTTCCTTAATATATAAAGAGCTCCTACAAATCAATAAAATGGTCAACAACCCAGTAAAAAACTGGGCAAAAGAACAAATCTTTCCCAGAAGGGAACTAGAAATGGCTCTTCAACACATGGAAAGGTGCTCATCCTCACTTACATTTTCACCCATCAGATCACCCGAGACAAAAAAGTCTGAGGATGTGGGGATATGTACGTTCATACATCTCTTTCTGATGGGCAATTTTCCAACAACATTATTAAAATTACAAATGCACTTTCTTGCACAGGGTCACAGGCACAAAGTTGTTATTGTGCAACACTGCTGTATAATTGCATGGCTTTGTGCAACAGCATTTAATAGGAGAAAGAAAGACTTAAATGTCCATAAACTGAGACCTAGTTAAATAATCACAGACAATTCATAAAGTTACAAAATGCAGTATCAAATTACTGTTACTGTGTTACTGTAACATTCTATTACTGTATGTAGCATCTAGGGACAACGTTCAATACTTATTTTTTTTTTTAATTTAAAGTACAGCTAATTAACAATGTTGTCCTAATTTCAGGTATACAGCAAAGTGAGTCAGATGTATATACAGATATATATATGAAAATCTATTCTTCTTCAGATTCTCTTCCCTTATAGACTATTACAAGATACTATATATAGTTTCTTGTGCTACACAGCAAGTCCTTGTTGCTTATCTGCTTTATATACAATAGTGTGTATATGTTAATCCCAAATTCCTAACCTATCTCCCCGTCCCCATCCCTTTTGGTCACTATAAGTTTGTTTCCTATGCCTGTAAGTTGGGTTTTTTTTTGTAAATAATTTCATTTATATTATCATTCCACACGTAAGTAGTATCACATGCTATCAGTTTTTCTCTGACTTACAGCACTTAATATGACGATAATATTGTTTTTAAGAGAAAAACACAAGGTGTAGAGCCAGATACAGTGTTTTATGTGAATACGGCAATGTGGTACCCTAGGTTTCCCCTGGGGAGGAGAACTAGTGTGAAAGGATGATTTTATTCTATATCCTCTTGTACTTTATGACTATTACTCTATATATCTATTTCCTCTCCCAAGTTAAATTAGAGTAGGTAAATAGTAAATCACCGTGGCTGCTGGGCAGAGGACAGCCTGACGGGAGCAGGAGTGCCCATGCAAAGTCACAGGCACAGGCCCCCATCAGTGGGAGGAGGTGTCCTCTCTCCTCAGAGCCCAAGGGGGCACGCAGGGTGGCAAGCACCCACAGAGACTGCTCCGGCCCCAGGGCTCCCTTCTTCACCTACTGTGAGCAGATGCAAAAGGCACTTAGCCCACCCTCACCCGCTCACACAAGGCGGCGATGGATGTGGCGCTCCCAGGCCCGGTCTGCACGTACCTGGCTCCAGGCCCAGCTCCAGCGTCTCCTCCCGAACCGCCTGCACCAGCATGGCCAGGAGCAGAAAGAGGAAGGCAAAGGCGAGGCAGACAGAGCGCTCGCCTCCCTCCTCCGAACTGAAGTACAGCCGGGTCACGGTCAGGAACACCTTGCTGGGGGCGCGGCTAAGGAGCCTCCGGTGCCTGGAGTGAACCCCCCAGCTCCAGACCGCAAGCATGGAAGCTCAGGTTCAGAGCCCTGGAGAGCAGGGGCGCAATAAAGGAGACAGACACTGGGGGGCCCAGGACACAGGGCTCGCCACTGCTCAGGCCCGGCTTCCCGGAGAGCAAGTGAGCCTGGGCCAGGCCTCCAGCTTGGCCTCGTCACACTGCCTATGGTCGGTTAGAAATGGCCACCACAAGCTTCCCCGGTGGTCCAGTGGCTAAGAATCCACCCGCCAGTGCAGGAGGCACGGAATCTGGGAAGATCCCACGTGCAATGCTGCACAACTGCTGAGCCCACAGGTAGAGCCTGAGAGCCACAGGACTGGCGCCCGTGTGCCTAGAGGCCGCGCTCCACCACGGGAGGAGCCTCTGCAGTGAGAAGCCCGGGCATCACAGCCAAGTGCTTCCCTGGGAGCGTGGTGGTTACGACTCTGCCTATCAGTGCTGAGCACAGGGCTTCGATCTTGGCCCAGAAAGATCCCACAAGGCCTAAGACAATTTAGCCTGTGTACCGCAACTGCTGAAGCCCTCACGCCCTAGAGCCTGTGATCCACAGCAAGAGAACCTGCCGCTCACTCATCTGGAGAGAAAAGCCCGCCTGCAACAACAAAGACCCAGCGAAGCCAAATAAATCCTACCAACCAAGGGATAAAAACAGTTTTAAAAAGAAAAAAAAATCACTGGCCACCAACTCTCTTCAGGTCAAGTCTCCCTTACCCACACCGCCTCCCGGCTACGTTCACAGGTCCTGTTTCCTGCTCCTCTGAGAGGCTGCCAGAGATACAGCTTCTGTCTCTAACCTCTCCTGAGAGAGACCCTCCAGGGCTTTCCAGAACCAGTGGTGTGGGTTTCAAGATGGGCTGCCTTTCTTTGCAATCCTATTCCACAAAGGCACCGCCTCCAACTTGGGTCCTCAAAGTCACAGTTTCGCCTCTGTTCTCTATGCAGCTCAGTAAAGACAATTACAGAGGGGTGTCTATGCTGGCCTATTGAGTTGCTTTGACCCAGGGAATGGACAGGGATGGGGTGAACCAACTTCAGGCCAAGCCTTAGGGGGCCTGCAGCACCCCCTTTTCCTTCCTGGCCGCTCTGGGTGAGGAAGCCTGCTCTAACCTGGAGCAGAGATGAAGCAACACAGCTGAAACCTGGCCAGGAAAACAAAATAGCGATTGGACAGGTTTTGGACAGGTTTACCGCACAGCAGTCGGTAACTGATGTGCCAATTTAGTGGGGAGAAGGAGCCTCAGATCCAGCTTCCAGGGGCCTCCACCTGCCCCACCCGGAGGAAGGATACATAGAGAAAGCGACGGTGAGCAGACACCAGAATACCGCGATGTTGGTCTCCTTGGCTGGGCCCAGCACATAGTAGTAGGCCTCCGTGAAGAGGTACACGCCCCCGGAATACACGGCAAAGTCCACAAACCACTGGTACTCCAGGAAGAAGCGCAGGACTGCGGAGAGCACGCCACTGAGCCCCCAGCTTGGCCCGCCCAGGATAGGATGCTCCCCACCACGTCCACCAGGGTGTGCGGGGGGTTGGGGACCCAGCTGTTACCAAGCGCATCGACAGCTGTGAGCGGACAGGTCTCCAGCTGGAACGGGGTGTCTCGGGGCACAGATAACGGCTTCTCCTCACTACCGCCGTTGGCCCACCTGGGAGCAGGGGAGATGAGCGGGAATGGCATCGGCAGCCTCCGTCTTCCCCTGCCCAGGCAGCCGTGGCGGCCTCCTCCTCCCCAGCTTGGTGCTCTGTCACCCTCAGAGCAGAGGAGGAGCTGGTCTAGAGGGTACCTTCACCCCAGCCTGGGTGTCCTCTGAATGCCAGGGGGTGGCCACCACCCACCCACAGGGCTGGCGCCGAGCAAACTTCCAATGAGCGTGGGGTGCCAACGGGAGGCACACAGCCTGGGGTGTTCCCAGTTCTCCTGGGGTGTCTCCAACTAGCCTGTGCCCACAGCAGTGCCTGGAGGTGTGCAGGGCAGGCGCTGTGCCCTCAGGGTCTCCCCTGGAAGGCAGCCACTGACCGCAGGCTGGGGGTTCACTCACCGCTCCTTCCTGCCTCTGGGCTTCTGCTTCCCTGCAAGGGCCCGCAGCTCATCCTCCGAAGGGTGCTTGTATCTGAAGAGACTGAAGGCAGACAGGCCGTCAGGAAAGCCTGGGCATGGAGGGAGCAAAGTGATGAACCTCAAAGCCTGAGACTGCAGAGCAAAGCCTGGCCCTGATAAGCCTGGGACAGGACGGGCAGGGGTCACCGAAGGTCAGAGGGAGGCGGGGAGGCAGGCTGAGGGCCGGCAGGGGAATGCAGCAGGAGTCCTAGACACCCCAGAATCTTCTGGCTAGCTCTCCTGGCGGAACTGGCATGTGAATTGTCCTGGAAAGAGAGTTTCGCAATTGCCACTGGGTTTTCAAAAAGGGTCCAAGACCCAAACCCTGACAAAGGATTTTAGGAAATAAGATCTATAGGTAGAAAGGGGAGCAGGGGTCGGGGAGCAGCTGCTCCTTTGAGTGTGGAGATGGTCTCAGCGATGTGTACAGTCTGTCAAAACGGATCCAACTGTGTGCTTCAAACATCTGCGATTATTGGGTCAACTATCTCAATAAAGTTCTTAAAAAACGCCGCCGGGAAGGGGCGTGGCTCACCTGCCATTGCAGAGCAGCCAGCGCGCGAAGGAGCAGTGCGGCGCCAGCCGGTGCATCAGGGTGGCGGTGAGCAACGTCACCACCAGCTGCACTCCAAGGACCGCCTGCGGGGAGGAGACGGGAAAGGCAGTGTCTGCCAGAGGGTCACAAGCTCACCTTTGAAAACCCGGCTATTTATAGAGAGACGCTGAAGCCAGGTGGGGGAGGGCGGCCCTCCTGGCTCCGGCTGCTTCTTGGGGAAGGGTCCGAGGGTGGGCTCAGACCCAACCCTGGGGGCCCCAGCAAAGCGCGGGCTCCGCCCCATCCCCTGGCAGGGGTGTGCGGTGGCGGAGAGCACGTGCTGGAGCAGAGATCGGGGCTCAATTTCCTCCTGTGCTAAGGATTTAAGGTAACAATCTCCCTGAGCCTGTTTCCTCATCTGGAAACGGGGTGCTTCCCATTTTGTCTCCTATACTCTCACGACCACCTCCGGGACCTACAGCGAGCCGGGCACATCCAGTGAAAGCTACTCCTCTCCCAGGGTATCCTCCCCCCCACCCCCCCAACGCACCATGTCTCAGGTGAACTTGCAGCTCCTCTGTTCACCCAGCTGACTCTGTCCCCCACGTCTTTCTCCATCCGAAATTATCCCTGAAAATTGAAATCGTCCTTTCTCCCTCTCCCTTCCTTTGTAACTAACCAAGGGGAAAAGAGGCCTGGTCTATTTCTGGCCACTACCTGTTTCAGGATTAACACGTACACATTTGAGTGGGATGAATTTTTTTAATTAGGAATTTTCTCACCAAGCGCTACTAACATTTTAAGCATATTTCCATATATGTTTATGGAACATAAGCAAGCATAACAAACTTCCATATACTTATTTTAAAATGTTTTAGAAAAAAATTGTTTCTGGTAATCAGTCTGAAGATGGGTTTTCCTGCGTGAATGTAGTAAATAACCATTTGCTATCAGTGCTAAGTCGCTTCAGTCGTGTTTGAATTTTTGTGACCCCGTGGACTGTAGCCCACCAGGCTCCTCTGTCCATGGGATTTCCCAGCCAAGAATACTGGAGTGGATTGCCATTTCCTCCGCCAGGGGATCTTCCCAACCCAGGGATTGAACTCACATCTTTTATGTCTCCAGAATTGCCAGGTGGGTTCTATAACAGTAGCACCACCTGGGAAGCCGACTTGCTATCAGTAATTATGTAAAATAAAGTGCTCAGGAAGGCTGTCAGCTACCATTATGGTATTAACAACTAAATAAAATAAAGATTATGTTAATGTTAAAACTAATTATTAAAATTATCCTTTAATCAGGCAAAAATAAGCTAACTTCAATAGGAAAAGCTCTAATGTGATGGCTATCCAGCTTAGCCCTATAATTCAGAATGACTGTTGAGAAATTCATCTTTAAAATAAAAGGACTAATAGGGTATTTTCTCTATGTTGTCACTTGTAAACTGAGACCAGGAACATTTTTTTCAGTAAGGAGGTGGGGCATCATCTTTCTGGTCTCACTGCTCACCCTTACCCCTACCCAAGTGCAGACTGGTTAGCAGGCGTTAATAAACCAAGAGCACAGTTGGCCGGCTCGGAGCCCAGTGGGCGGGCTCTCAAACGGCCCCGCCCTTCCCCATGGACCGCCCCCCCCCCAACTCCTCCCTAGGAAATCCAGCACCTCCCAGCAGCTGCTCTCCAGTCTTCCGAGCTCTCCACACACCTCTCCCTTGTGACCCATCCCCTGGCAGGGTTTTAACCACCGACACAGCCCAGCACGACTCCAGCCCACCAGCACCTCCAGCCAAGATCTCTCTGCTGAGCTCGCTGACCATGCCTCCTCCAGGCCCTTCCCTGGAGACCCCAGCACCCACCCATCCCTCCCACGGACACGGCTCCTCCAGGCGGCCCAGGACCTTCCTAGTCTAACAAATGAATGTTCAGCGACATTCCTCAGCCCGCAAGGCCCGGCAGACCCCGCTCAGGACTAACCCGCCTCACTGCCCAGCTCTCTCCCCCAGTGCCCTCTATGCCCAACCAGTCGGGTCTCAGAGACACTCCCAGACCCCAGGCCTCTCCATCGCTAACCCCATTACCCTGGACACCTCTCAGGGAGGAGACCCATGGTTCAAACTGTGATCTCAGCACCTAGGAGAGGAAGGACGGGAGAGAGGAAGGAGAGGAAGAGAAGAAGAGAGAAAGAGAGGGAGGAAGGATGGGATGGAAGGAAGGATGTACAAGGAAAAGAGATGGAAGGCATGCATCCCCCCACCTGAGGCTCCCAAGGTCCGTCCAAGGATGTTTCTCATGGTCATCCCCCCACAGCTCTGGCCTTAGGGTCCACATTCTGCAGATCTCCAAAGATCTCTGGAGCCTCCCATCACCCCATGTCCCTCCCCTGTTCAAACCCTTCCCTAGATCAGTGATCCCAGAATCCTGCTGCTGCTGCTGCTGCTAAGTCTCTTCAGTCATGTCTGACTCTGTGCGACCCCATAGACAGCAGCCCACCAGGCTGCCCTGTCCCTGGGATTCTCCAGGCAAGAACACTGGAGTGGGTTGCCATTTCCTTCTCCAATGCATGAAAATGAAAATTGAAAGTGAAGTCGCTCAGTCGTGTCCGACTCTTAGCGACCCCATGGGCTGCAGCCCACCAGGTTCCTCTGTCCATGGGATTTTTCAGGCAAGAGTACTGGAGCGGGGAGACATTGCCTTCTCCGAGAATCCTGCTAAGTAACATCAAATCAATGTGGCGGGCTTCCCTGCTGGCTCAGAGGTAAAGAATCCACCTGTCAATGAGGGAAACACAAGTTCGATTCCTGGGCTGGGAAGATCCCCTGGAGAAGGAAATAGCAACCCACTCCAGTATTCTTGCCTGGGAAATCCCAAGGACAGAGGAGCCTTGCAGGCTACAGTCCATGGGGTCGCAAAAGAGTCAGACATGACTTAGAGACTCAACAACATCAATGGGACTTTCCTGCATCCCATTTCAGACAGCCCTTCCCCTCACCTCCTACAACGTCCCAAACCCTGGAATGACCTCCTCTTTCACCAACCCCTTTCATCAGTGCTCTTACTTCAGACCCACCTCCAACACCCCGCCTCAGGGACGCCCCTACTGCAGGCAAGTTCAGGCCCCTTTCCCAGCCCCCCAAGTCTGCCGCTGCCTCTGCCCAGTCCTAGGGACTGGGGTGGGGGGTGGGGCCTCCGCCCCCACCCAACAGCAGCCTTGCCCACAGAGGCCAGGATAAGCTTGAAGGATAAACTGAATGGGTTGGACCCAGAACCACGTGAGACCTGAGGGTTCCAACTGTTCTCTCTCCAATTCTGGGACCCTCGCCTGCCCAGAGCCCACCTTGAGCCCTTGACCCCCTCCTCTCAGGATTCTCCCTGGTCCTTCAGCACACCCCATACCCCGAGGGAGCCCAGATGGGCCCTGTCGGTGCGGTCCCCACGGTCCCGCAGGACACCGTGCCCAGAGTGGGCCCCAGTCGGACCCCAGATCTCCCTCGCGGGGCTCCGAAGGTGTTCAGATCCCCAGCACCCTCCAAGGGACGGCCCCTCAGCAGGACCCCAGGCCCCTAGAAGGCACCCCAGGGACTTGTCAGAAGCCCAGAACGCTCAAGGCCTTCCAGTCCCCTTGCACAGCCCCGACCCCCTCATCGATCGCGGAGCGAGACCTAACCCCAGAGAGGGAAACACAGCCCTCAGCGCGACCCCGAGTCCCTCAGAGCCCTCAGTCCCACAGAGGGAGCTGTGTCTCCTCGGTGTTCCCCTGGACTGCCCCACGGTGGAACCCGTAGCCTCTCAGTGGACCCCATGCTAACAGTTGCGGGCTCACCATGTTGCGGACCGGAGGGCGGCGCGGAGACCCATGGGTCTGGAGCTCAGAGCCCACCGCGGAACTCGACCGATCAGAATCCGATTTTGGCCTGACAAGCAGCCCATCCAACCAATCGTCAGGATTGGAGTCGGGGCGAATCGCGAGGACCAGGAGTCACTCGCGTTGCATGGCGGAAGTTGTAGTTTAAAGATGCTTGACGCTCTCTGATCGGGGGCTCTGGAACCCCAGGGAGAGCACTGTTTCTGAGAACCAGTCTCCTCACCTGCACCTATTTCGTAGGTTTAAAGCGAATATGCTTATTCATCAAATCACTGTCTCCCGCTAGAGAGTTCGGAGCGTGGAACTGCAATGATGAAGAACATTCGGTGACCCCCACTGACTGCTCAGACTGATTTCAGAGCCTTCTGCCTGACTTCAGTCTGCTGCCAACACTATTGTACTCAGAAAAGTACAGCTAGCCACCAGCCTTGCTTTCTTGTATCTTCCTTTATTTCATCTGGCAAAAGCCTTCTTCATCTCTAGTTGCAACTGGCGGCAGGGGGTGGGCTCCAGCAATAAAGGAAAAAAAACTGGCTAATGTGAAAACTCCAAGAGCATTGTCAGCTTCAGGCATGGCTAGATCAAGAACTAAATGTCAGCCTCAGGAATCTAATGTTTTCCGCTGTTTCAAGGCTTAGAGGAAAGAGCTTCAAGCCCAAGTTTTGCAGCTGTATTTCTATGGATAATTATGTCTGTCTGAACGTGGACATATTCTGTGGGTGGGACTGTCTGAGGGTCTTTGTGGGGCCTGTGTATAGTTGATTGTATATGTATATGCTGCTGCTAAGTCACTTCAGTCGTGTCCGACTCTGTGTGACCCCATAGACGGCAGCCCACCAGGCTCCCCCGTCCCTGGGATTCTCCAGGCAAGAACACTGGAGTGGGTTGCCATTTCCTTCTCCAATGCATGCAAGTGAAAAGTGAAAGGGAAGTCGCTCAGTCGTGTCTGACTCCTAGCGACCCCATGGACTGCAGCCTACCGGCCTCCTCCATCCATGGGATTTTCCAGGCAAGAGTACTGGAGTGGGGTGCCATTGCCTTCTCTGATATATGTATATACATATGTATATATCCTATATATGTATATTTGTATATAACTATACAAACATGTATAGTTGATTGCCTTGTCTCTGTGAGTGTTTTTGTCTTTGTATATGAGCATATGTGGATGTCTGTCTGCAGGAGATTCACTCTGTGACTTTGATCCTCTGGACCCAATGTGTTGGCTTGAGAGAGGGTGGGTGACCGAGGCAGTGAGGATCACTCGGATTTCACAGGACCTACATGGGGGTCATGAGACACCCCTCAGGGCTACGGCATCCAGGTGGGATCCAGGGAAGCTGGAGTTCGGGGAGGGTGTCAGAAAAGGTGGACCAAGAGAAAAGGGGGACTTTTGCAGCAGGTCCGTTGCTCACCAGGCTGGAGGGCTGACTCGACTGCTTTCTACAGCAGATCAGGGTGCTGAGACAATTATCTCCATTAAATTGATAAATATACTGAGACTCTGAAAGGCCCCAATCTCTAATCCACACCCTGATTTCCCCCGGGGCCATAGGGTTTATGCGTCTAGGTATCACAGCGCCCTCATGTGGTGAACTGCAGGCAGCTCGCACACATCCTGGCCCCTGGAGTTCTGATCTTCCCTCTGCAGCCTCTCCCGGTTGCAGAAAGGCAGCTACATCTTCCAGGTGCTTATTCCCAAATTCTGAAGTTGGCCTTAAACTCTTTCTCTTGCTCCATACCTGACCTGTTAGTCCCTCCTGATGGCGTCACCTTCCAACTGTAACCATTGTCCCACCCAGCCTCCCTCCCTCCCTTCACAGCCTCCACCCAGTCCAGCATCATCTCCCACCTGCAATCCCCTCCTCCCTGGTCTCCTGTAGCTTCCATTCCCCTTTCCCCACCCACTCCCACAGTCTGTTTTCCCCAAGCATCTTAAAAGCACCTGTTAACACTTAACCTGACCGTATTCCTTCTCTGCTCACAACCAACCATTGCTCCCACCTCACTCAGAACAAATGCCAAAGTCTGCTCTTGGCCCATGTACTCCACCCTTCACTGTTCGCTCAACATGTCAGTTCTTTAAAAAAATAAGAATAATAATTATATTTATATTCTTGGCTGTGCCGGGCCTTCATTGCCATGCAGGCTTGTCTCTCGTTTCGGCAGGCGGGGGCTCCTCTCTAGTTGCAGTGCACAGCCTCCCCATTGTGGCGGCTCCTCTTGTTGCAGAGCAGTCTCTGGGGTGTTCAGGCTTCAGTAGCCACAGCTCCCGGGCTCTAGAGGACAGGCTCCATAGCTGCTCCACAGCATGTAGGATCTTCCCAGATCAGGGAACGAACCCTTGTCTGCTGCATTGGCAGGCAGATTCTTTATCGCTGAGCCACCAGGGAAGCCCCAGTTCCTTTTATATATATATATTTGGCTGTATCTAGTCTTAGTTGCAGCATGTGGACTATTTAGTTGCAGCCTGCAGGGTCTAGTTCCCTGCCCAGAGATCAGACCCAGGCCCCCTGCACTAGGAGTGTGGAGTCTCAGCCACTGACCACCAGGGAAATGCCAACATTTCAGTTATGCAGCAGGAAGCGTTCCTCATTTCCTGTTCTACACTGCATGTATTGTGTTGTCTGTTCTACACTGGACGTTCCTCTATTCTACTTTCTCTACTCTGCATTGGATGTTCACGTTGCCCATTTTCCACTGGACATTCTTCATTGTCCATTCTACACTGAGTGATTCCATGTTCTCTGTCCTACACCGGCTATTCCATTTTCCCTAATCCTCACATAGTCCCTGTGTCTAACATCCCACAATTTCTGACCACACTGAGGTCCATGCTCTCATTCCACACTGTTCACTGTCTCTATTTATAGTGCTCTCAAAAATGCATCTTTCATATCTCTGACTTTCATGATTGTGTTTTTATCCAAGTCAGACTTCCCGCGGTGCTTCCAACCAGTGACCAAGCTCCTGGGCGACTTGGACCCCCTCTAATGATGACAATGGCCCTTGCCAGCATCACCATGGTGTTCCTAGAAAGACTGGTGGTAGGACACTCACACACAACCTTCCTTGCTTCCACTGTCACAGAGCCAGCAGGGGCAGAGCGAGCATTGGGCCCAGGGGCGTTTCCAGAACCTGGCAGCACGCCCACAAGTACACCTTAATGAACTTGTATAGTCACAGACACATGATATGTGACTTAGCCCTTTTTCATTCCCCAGGCTCAGACGAAGAATATGGGGCAGACTCCCTAGAAGCCAAGATAGATTTTATTTATTATTGTGCGTGCTAAGTCACCTCAGTTCTTGTTCAACTTTTTGCGACCCCATGGACTGTGGCCCACCAGGCTCCTCCATCCATGGGATTCTCCAGGCAGGAATACTGGAGTGGGCTGCCAAGCCCTCCTCCAGGGGATCTTCCCACCCCAGAGATCGAAACCATGTCTCTTACGTCTCCTGCACTGGCAGGTGGGTTCTTCACCACTAGCACCAGCTAGGAAGCCCCATGTATTATTATTTCACTTTATTTTGAAACTACGTGAGGACTTCAGAATCCAAAGGGCACTGTTGGGCGCCACCTAAAGGCAGATGGTGAAAGTGCAACCTCCCAGGCTTGAACAGAGCCACACCCATTGAGCCTGGAGGCCCCCAGCGTTTGAGAGCAGCCCACGTTTTTATGAATTCCACACTGGGCGCTGACTTCAGGGCCCGGCCCACCTTCTTATCCACCATGTGGGTAAGATCCAGATGTTGAAAAGGGGCCCTTTCTGGCCATACCTCAGTTTCCCCCAGAGGACTGGCTGCCTTGGCCTCTCTTCCTCCTACGTCCCTGGCCCAGTGTCTGGTTGTATGGGGAGCTGTGACTTCGACACTGTGGCAGGGAGGCGCCCCAGGGTGGGGAGGGGATGATTCTAGTTTGGCAGTTCATGCACCTCATGTGCCTGGCCAGGGTCCTTGAGACCTGAGGAAGGGGGTCCCCAGAAGGGTACCCCAGATGGAGAAATTTGCACTCGCGTAGAGACCGTGGTGCATGTGGCCACGGTGCTGCTGGGCATGGCAGGGGCTGTGTGCTCAGCCGGATCCCCAGAGGGCGCTGTCATGGGCTGGGGTGCAGACAGCGGCACACCCCTTCTCTGCGGGTAGGAAGGGACAGAAGGAAGCAGGTGGATTTAGGACCTGAGTCTGAGTTGGGTGAGAGAGCTCTCCAGCTGAACTTAAACACACCACAGAGGCCTTGAGTGCACCCCACAGCCTCTGCATTCTCTGCGGGTTTCCCTGTGTGAGAGGGAACTCCGTGGATGAATTGAGTGTGAGGCTCTTCACCCCAGATCCGGGCCATCCACAGGCCCCGGTGGCTGTGCCCCAAACACAGTCTGGAGTGGCCCTCCTCTTCCCCCTCGGTCTCCTCCCTCTTTTGCTCCCCGACCCCGCCTCCCCTCCCGCCCACAGGAGCCCCAGGGATGGAGGCTTTCACAGACTTTGATCTTATCATGTCTCTCCCCTGGAAACTGGTACTCCAATGCCCCAACTTCACTGGGGATGAAGGTGATGAGGACTGGGAAGATCAGAGGACAAATCCCAGGCTGGATCTGGACATGAATGGTGATATGCATGTGGCTGTTCAAGCAAGAGCTCTCATTTCACAAGGAGAGTCTGTCAGTTTATACTTTTTCCCTCTCTTCCTACCCCTTAAAAGGTTTTGAAGCCCGCGCACATGTTGCCTCTGTATGCACATCCAGGTCTGTGTGCGCTGGCGGTGCAATGCAAGACTGAATTTTACTGAGAAAGGTCCACTGTGGAATGCTGGGGTGACAGGGTTAGGGTCTTTGTGTGTGTGTGTGTGTGTGTGTGTGTGTGTGTGCGCCAGTCTTAGCTGCAGCATGTGAGATCTAGTTCCCTGACCAGGGATCTAACCACTGGACCACCAAGGAAGTCCCAGAACAAGGGTCTTGTAATTAT